ACGCACACACACATGGATGGATTGATGAGATCGATGTGTGTGTGTGTGTGTGTGTGTAGGGTTTGGGCAACATGGCCGTGTCGAATGCGTTCGGTTCCAACGTCTTCAACATTTTCTTCGCCCTGGGGTTCCCCTGGCTCCTCAAAACATGGATACAAAACCCTGAAGGGTACACACACCTATACTATAGGCATCTGCTCACATTTCTGTGCGGGAGTGTTGTGTGTGTGGTGGTGGTGCAGTTATTCGATGGACTCGGACGACATAGTGATATCGGTGTTCATCTTGGCGGCGTCTCTGGTGCTGTTCGTCATGTTTGTTGTCTGCAACCGCATGAAGATGGGCCGCGTCATGGGATACGGATGCATCCTCTGCTACGGACTCTTCCTCATATTCGAAGTAACCACAACACACGCATACACAGACACATTCACAGACACAGACACTCACAGAATGAGGGTGAGGGCGAGTGTGTGTGTGTGTGTGCTGCGATCAGGTTGCCGCCAACGCGGGATGGATACCTGGGTACCCATGGGTACACCCCGGTGGGCCTTGACGTGACGCAGTCGGCTTTTTGCCTTAGTAGGCGATATGTATGTGTGTCGGTCGGTCGGTCGGTCGGAGGGTCTCTGTCTAGGCCATCAACGGTAGACGCACGTGCGAGGGAGCGAAGGGGCGATGGGCAAGTGCGGCAACACAATGAATGCAACCAACGCTCTGTCATGCGATCGATGTGTTGACGTGTCGATGTGTGTGTACACGTATGCACCATTGAGAGGGAGTGTCATGTGTAGTAGGGCTTTCGGGCTTTTATAGTGGCGGGGCTCTCTACTTCCATCTGTGTGGTTGGGCGATTTTTCTCTTTGATCGTGATTCGATTGGGCCTTTTTATACACACCCTGTCTTGTCTGTCTCTGTCTGTCTGTCTGTCTGTCTGTCTGTCTGTCCGGCTGTGTGCCTGTCCGCTTCTCCCACTGGTCTCTTTGCCTTCCCCTGCCTCCCTCCATATGTGCGCGTGATTTATAACAAACCCACCCACAATCCATTCGCTGATGCCTTCGTGTACTTGCAGTGCTGCATGGAGTTTCTATCCGGTGTACAGTGCCCAGTCTGATGTGTGGCACCATGCGCAATGGATACCACATACACACACACGCATGGAATGAGAGACTCATCGGCCTTCTGTGACAGTATATATGTGCGGTGCCGACATACTTGACAAAATGCAGCGCTGCTTTGCAAAGATGCCCTCCCCGTCTTCTGAGCTTTCGCTGTCGCAGATCTCGGTGTGATCGGGTGCACACGAAACTGCAGATGCTCATTCATGTTCGCCTGTTTGGTGTCTAGCAGCAGAGGCTCTTTCACGCGACTATCCTGGACACAACACGCGACTATTTCTGGACGCGTGTGGTGGTGTAGCTGATGCGTGTGTCAATACATGGTGCATCAGCAATACACACGCCCACCACCACACAGAGACAAGTCCGTAACGGTGTGGCGAGATTTCTGCGCGACGAGACGGAGACAACCCCCCCTGATTTGAGCTTGCATTTTTCGCATTTTTTTCCGCGTTCGGCGGCTAACTTCGGCCTGCCAGCCTTATTTCAGCCACAGATCCTCCATTTCTTTTTCTTTCCGGCTGCTCATAGGCTTGTGTTGTCCATCTCATCTCCCTCTACCCCTCCCAACTCGTCCGGGTCGTCCGGATGTCATCGACCACATTTTTCCTCCACCACCGACGTCACACTGGTGAGCTCCTCCCAAGAAACACAGCACAACGCAGAGCACCTTACCTGTTGGTGCTTCTGCGGAGCGGCTGTCGACTGCCTGGCGACCGCCTGGCGCCTGCAGAGTGCGCACGCACCTTTTTTTCTCACATATCGACTTCCAGGTAAGCACGTATGTTGGGGCCAGCGTGGTGACGGTGTGATGAAGGGATGGTGTGTAGGGATGAATGGTGCATTTCGGTTGTCATGGGTGTGCTCATATGCCTTCCTCGAGCTGTCGGCAGCCCAGAAGAAGATGACAGGCTCAACATTGGCCCTGGCGAGCAACAAGTTCGTGGTGTACGACTACGTGGACGGTGTCGATCTCTACCGCCCCCCCTCATTCGGTGCGGTGTTGCGGTCAGTGGAGCAGCAGCGGACAAAATAGTGATTTCTTCTTGTGGTTCCCGTCTCCAGGTAGGCACGTATGTTGGGGCCAGCGTGATGACGGTGTGGTGAAGGATGCTGTGTAGGGATGAATGGTGCATTTCGGTTGTCAAGGTACGTCCAGCTGGAATACACACACGCTCACACACACGGCTGGCTGCATACGCACGGGACTGAGTGATGATAGGTCGACGGTGTTGGCTGCCTGCCTGCCATTCACGTCTGCCGCCGTGTATGTGTGTATGTATGTATGTATGTATGTGTGCTGCAGGGACGACTTGGTCGCCGGCATGTATGACGCCTTCGACTTGCGAAAGTACTACCCCACCAACGCCATCGGCGTCGAGGACCAGCTGTTACATGCCCCATGCCAATGAGACCGACGAGGGCGTGGAGGACGCCGTGGCTCGCCATGCAGGCCGCTAACCTACCTGGTACGTCAGTCAGCGGACAGACACAAAGACAGACACACTTGGCCCACTCGCGCGCCCGCCCGCTAAGTATCTCAGATATCTCTGTGCCGGCTGTTTATGTATGTTGTGAGTGCAGCCACCGTCCGCGACAAGTTCCAGAAGGGCATGCGGGCGCTGTACAAGAAGATCACGTCCGAGTTGCCCTGGGGCAGGCTGCCCGATGCCGTGTACGACGACATCGAAAGACGCTTTGACGCCTTCATAGCCCTGTAAGTCTACGGACCACCGTACGTACGTATGTATGTCTTATCATTGTCTTCGGTGTATCTGTATTCAGGATACGAACCCACTGCCGGGGCGACACGACTAACGCCATCAGCTTCAAGCAAATGGTGCAGGTACGCTCTAAATAGATATGTACACACCCGACTGACTGACGCACAGACATTCTATTCTATGTGTATACGTACTCAGATGCCATTGGAGTGTGTGTCTCTTGATCTTTGTTTGATGTCTGCAGGCGCGGGGCATCCACTACATTCATCAACGGGGATTTGTGCATCGTGCTATCAAGCCTGACGTAAGCTATCACGCCATTTCAATGCACACGCGTTCGTGGACACCGTTGTGGCTCGTGTCCTGACTGTGTGTCGTTCAGAATGCGTCAATTCGGGAGGCGGACGGGCTGCTCAAGATAGCAGATTTGGGGATGGCAGAGCGGATTCAGGTATGTCAGGAATGAGAACCAGATACAGCGTACACACAAACGTACACCACAGCAGAGGACAGAAGCGAATCCTGTGTCTCTGCGTTCGTTGCCTTTCTTAGCGTGGTGTGTGTGTAGAATGGGAGGGTGAATCCGCTGGATCCATCGGGCGGCACCCTCAAAGACATGGCACCGGAGATTTGGCAGCGGCGAATCATCACCCCAAAAGTGGACATTTGGGCATTTGGTGAGCCCAGCTGCGCTATTCACCTTGAAGATGGTCTATGGACGAGGCCGCTTGGTGCGCTTTTCTCGCTGCGTGCAGGTTGCTGTCTTATTGAGATATTCGGGGGGGGGGGGG